CTCAGCCTTCCGAGTAGCCGGAATTACAGGCATGTGCTACCACGCCCAGCTGATTTTTTGTAGAGATGAGGTCTCGCTGCCCTGGCGGGTCTCTAATCCGTGGGCTCAGGCAATCCACTCACCTCAGCCTCCCAAAGTGCGGGATTACAGGCTGAGCCACCGAGCCTGGCTCATAGATACACGCTTTCAAGGAGAAACACTGGATAGTCTTCAAGTGTAAAGCAGATTGCTAGTCTAGGGAGTCAGGAAAGGCTTCCTAGAGGATAAGACAGAAGAGGAACTGAGCACATAATGACTGAAATAGAGAGCCAACAGGAGAGGGCCGAATGAGTGAGAGGAGGAAGTCTTGTTAAAGAGGGCCCGGACTGGGCAACCTCCTCCGGTCCCCTTCTGCTCTGGGAGCTTTGCTGGTCACTCAATAAATCCTGAGTTCTCAAAAATCAAACAAACAAAAAGGCCAGGATTTGGGTTCTTCACCATTTGATGATTTTAAACTGAGACAGATATGTTCAGATTTAGACTTCATTTAGCAAGAATGAATTGGAAGCATCAAGAATTAATCAGCCAGGCTAGGCGGCTCAGCCTGTAATCCCGCGCCTTGGGAGGCTGAGGTGAGTGGATTGCCTGAGCCCGCGGGTTCAAGACCCGCCTGGGCAACTTGGCGAGACCTCATCTCTACAATAAAAAGAAAAAAAAAATTAGCTGGGTGTGGTAGCACGCGCCTGTAATTCCGGCTACTCTGAAGGCTGAGGTGGAAGGATCGCCAGAGCCCGGCGGGTCGAGGCTGCAGTGGCCGGGAGCGGCCACTGGACTCCAGTCTGGGCGACAGAGTAAGACTCCAACTCAAAAAACAAAACAATACAAAGAATTAATCCCATCTCCACTTCCTCCTTCCAGTAGCTTAGAATCCTCACCTTTTGGAGTAGTATAGGTTCATTCATTCATCACGCTCTGATAAATATTGATTTCTTATTATGTACTGTTATGTTTCAAGCATTGCCCTGGGGGTTAAAGGGGGAACAAGAGCAAACAGATCAGCCTTGGTCCTTAAGGTCTGGAGCACGTAGTCTAGGGTCAAAGGAGAGCTAGTCAGCTGGAAAGGTAACAACAGCCATAGGAAGCCTTGAAAAGTGCCTTGGACCGAACCGACCACTTTCGAAATGCCCGAGCCGAGGCACATCTCCAAAACCCAATGAACTGATGTATTTCTACCTTTGTAAAATGGAAACCTACCTTGCCCGAATGTTGCAAGAATCGAAGACAACTACGCACAGCGCTTGACATCCAGTGGGTCCTCAGTAAGGAGACTAAAGAGGCAGCAAGGCTACGGTTATTTCTGGAAGAGGTGACCGGGGGTTGTCACACGTGAGGCGAGTGTCCGGTGATAACGTCTAGGAAAGCCCTTGCTGCGCAAAGGGGCAGCCGACCGCTCCGGCCACTCACCGAGTCTAGAGGTTTCCCAGGAACCCCGGCTTCGGGTACTTCCCGGATGCCCCGTACGAGACCCCGCCCAGGGCTGCGGCCGCCTCCACCTACCGCAGGTGAGGCGAATGCACCGCGCGACGTCCCCCACAGCAGCAACCGAGGACACAGCGAAGCCGCGACGCCCCTGACGCATGCGCAGCGCGCACGCACGCATGCGGCGAGTCCCTCACCGCCCACCCCGGAGGCGGGGCCTGAGGCCTGGGCT